GAAGGCAGCATGGAGATCAATGGCTGGAGACCAAGGAACTGCTAGAGAGCTTTGCTCACCCTCTGGCGATGAGCCACATTTGCAGAGAGTCAGTTTTCAAAGGTTTTTTTAGACCAAAATGTCTTTGAGACCAAAGTCTGATAAAGGGTTTTTTTTTTTTTTTTTTTTTGAGGGTCATGAAACCAATCTGGTTTTGTCCCAGACTGGGTGATAGGAGGTGTTAACTGTGTCTAAAATCTCAAGGGACTTCATTTTCCTGTGTTCATTGTCCTTGACACGAATCCTGCTGAGTATCCAGGCCCACAAGTCAGATGGGCACATAGCTGAGCTTGAAAAACGTGCTACGAGCCCCAGCTGTTTCCAGCCCTGCATCTCCCTGTGTGTTGGTACTTTACCCAGCTCGGTCACATGCAGTTTCACACTCTGGGAGGAGCCAGAGGAACAGTTTTATATGCTCAGGGCAAAAATTTCAGAATCCCGCCTCAGATTTGGTGCTTGGCACTTCTTGAGAAAGTGGAGCAATGCTTTTCTGAATAACTACAGAGCAGTTTGTTCACAGTTGCTTCTTCATGTTGCAAGGTTAGCTCCTGGATGATGCCTTGACACACAAAACAGATGCATTTGTCTGTATTGGACTTTTCCCCCACTGAGGCTGAAGCCGCATTCTCCAAGGGTGCCGCTGCCGAAGCAGTGTGTCTGCACAGCGGCACTTGAGCAGCCAGAAGTCTGTTCTCAAGCAGGCAGACACCGTGCGCTTGCATGGTGCTACACACTGAGGCGTAGTCCCTGTTACCAAGACCTCAGCACCCTGCTGGCATCAGAGGAGCCTTCGGAAGGATGAGCTGGACTGTAGCATCCCCCGTGCAAAGGCAACTCCTTGATTTCCAAGGGCCTGCGGACTCCCCAGTCACTCATCCTGCTCACATCTCATCTTCCCAGACTGCTGCTTGAGAGCTGGCGCTGCCTCCACTTACTTTGGCTGTTTGTTTTTCCTCCCTCTGCTATTGTACTTTTTAATGCATCTTTCCAAGGAGTGTGTCCTCAGCTTTCCTCATCAGCTCCTGCCCACTGGGGAATCCAAACCCATGCAGTGCCAGCTCCCCTTCTCTTTATTCCCTGAGGAGCAGGTGCAATGGGGTGTCCGGTGGATGGTACCTGAGCACAGTGTTCTTGGTGGAGCAGACACCTACATCAGAGAGCTCCCTTCTGACCGGCCCAGTCTCCAGGCATGAGCGTTTTCTGAGCCGAGCGCCTTGGGCCCCCCCAGTTCAGACGCAGAAGGCAAACAGGCAGCTCATGCTGGGTTTCCACAGGCAGTTCAGAGATGCTTTATCACGCGCAGAGCGGGGCAGCCCTCTGTCAGGCCAGGGATGGGGAGGAGGGCCTGCAGGGACCTAAGGCACTTGGACCTTTTCCTTTCCCTTTTACGTTCAGTACAAACCCCCTGGGATCAAAGCCTGCTTTTTTTGTTTTTCTTTTTGTATTTTAACTCCACACTTTCTGCTCTTTCTCCTCTATAAATAAGAGTTCATTACTGTGCATGGATTCTCAGCTAAGATGTGTGCAATGGAGATAAATACTTGATGTGACTGAGTCAACAGGCTAAGCACATGCCAGTCTCACACAGGAAATACAAACCATGCAACTGTTTTCAGCATATAATGGCACAACTGAGAGCAGAAGTTGGCTGGAGGATGGAAATTACCTTAAGTCTTCTCAGGCCAAATAGGAACGGAACAAAAATAGACCATGTAGTTTAAAGGTACCCCTACTGTTGCCAGGAGCGCTCAGTAAGGCACTCAAAAGTCATTTCACTTTTTGCAGAAGAAGCTTCTGCTTTTCCAGAAGTTGTCATTTTCAGCAGTGCTGCTGTTTGCCTTGGAGCATCATGGAAAAAGATTTTTCCTCCAAAAATGTGGAAGTGCTATTATTAGAGGTGCCTGAGTCAGTGTTGTTTTTCTTTGAAGATTCAGCTAGACTTCCTTTGACAACTAGAGGTCCATATTTTTCACCAGTTTGTATTTTGTTTTTAAGGTAGGATTTCAAAGAGTGGCAAGAAGGAATAATAACAGAGCAGCCCTCAGAGAAGCCCCGTAAGCCAAGGTGTGCACTGAAAAGGAGTGGCCTCTGGGGCGGTTTTGGCTCTCCGTGTTGCACCTCCTGCTTGCCGGACAGCGCAGCAGGGCTTCGCCAGTTCCACAATGTGTTGTGCAAGTGCTTGGAGAGCCTCCGAGCTTCCCGGCTTGTTCTCCAAGTTTCTCAGGAAAACCCAAACAGCTAACTGGCTTTGCAGGGTGGTTTGCTCTTTAGCTACCCAGGCAGGTAAAGACTGAGTCAGAAAATCTGCTCTAATTTATTTGGTAATCCTGTGCTGACTCCTCTTGCCTCGCCACTCCCCAGTATCTCCCAAACCTATCCTTTTGATATTCACTTGTTCCAGTTTGGGACAGAAGGAAAATCCTAAATGTGACCTTTTGGGCAGGAAAGGATTTCAGTATTCCAGCCAGGCTTTGAAACCAATATTTCTATTTAAAGGAACTTAAAACACTTCTAATAATACTTCTCCTTCCCTAACTATCACTGGAGTCGGTTTACAAGCATTCCTGTGGAGTCACATGTAGGAAATGGGCAGGAAAGTCCTTGAAATCATAATTAGGATGTAGACTTGGGCCAAACTGTACATTTCGGTTATGATTTTGCATTTATTTCTTGGCCTCAAAGTGCAAATGCAAGCTTGGCATCATGGTCTGCACTGCTAGGTGAAATGACTTTTTATCTATTTTAGAGACGTTTTAAATCTACACAG